TTAAGATAGATTTTTGCTCTTGTTGCCCAGACTGGAGTGCAATGGTGTGATCTCAGCTCACCGCAACCTCTGCCTCCTGGGGTCAAGCGATTCTCCTGCCTCAGCCTCCTGAGTAGCTGAGATTACAGGGATGCGCCACCACGCCCAGCTGATTTTGTATTTTTAGTAGAAACAGGGTTTCTCCATGTTGGTCAGGCTGGTCTCAAACTTCCGACCTCAGGTGATCTGCCCGCCTCAGTCTCCCAAAGTGCTGGGATTACAGGTGTGAGCCACCGTGCCTGGCCAGCATTCTCAAATTTAACATGTCTGAAAGAGAACACCTGACACTTCCCCACCTCTTTAACCCAGATCTGTTCTTCTCCATCTTCCCGATCTCAATAACTGGTACTGCGTTTGCTCAGATGGGGGATCGGGCACACTTCCTCCCTACTCCTCATCCTGTGGCCAGTCCCTCAGCAAGTGTTGTCCTTGTGCTTTGAGACGTACCTAGGAGCTGACTACTCCTCACCATCTCCAGTGCCAACACCCAGTCCAGCCCCTGCCACCTCTCATCCAGCAGGATTTCCTGGGCTGCCAACTGGTCTACCAACTTCTAGGCTTAACCCCCAACCAACTCTTTTCCAACCAGCACCTGGAGTGTCCCTTAAAACACAAATCCAAGCTCTCTCTGGCTCAGTGCCATCTCCCCCAGAGTATAAGTCAAAGTCCTGACGAAGTCCCCAGTTTCTACGGGGAGTCCCAGCGAAGCCATGTGGTCCCCTATCTTTAGACGTTGCCTCTCCATTCTCCATTTCCTCTCTCTGCCCCAGCCACAGTGCCCTCCTTGCTCCTCCACACATGCTCTACCTCAGGGCCTTTGTACTTGCTGTGTGCTCTGCCTGGACAGGCTTCCTCTGACGTCCACTTGGCCAGCTCCTTCCTATCACTCAAGTCTCTGCTCAGTTGCACCCTTCTCTGGGAACCTTTTCCTGAGAATTTTTTAAAAAAACATTTGTTTGTCTGTCTCCCTTGATTGGATGTAAGATCCATTTAGGCACATGATAGGCACTCAAAGAGTATTTGTTGGATGAAAGAAGGAACAAATATATGGCTTGGTGCCATGGCTCATGCCTGTAATCCCAGCACTTTTGGAGGCCGAGGTGGGCGGATCCCCTAAGGTCAGGAGTTGGAGACCAGCTTGGGCAACATGGCAAAACCCCATCTCTACAAAAAATACAAAAATTAGCTGGGCGTGGTGGCGCGTGCCTGTTGTCCCAGGTACTTGGGAGGCTGAGGTAGGAGAATTGCTTGAACCCGGGAGGTGGAGGCTGCAGTGAGCAGAGATCACACCACTGCACTCCAACCTGGGTGACAAGAGTGAGACTCCATTTCAAAAAAAAAAGAAGGAACAAATATAAAAGATGATGAAATATTAATAAATAAGCAAGCCAAGCATACTGCTTTCATTACATGGCTGCATCTCTCAAGAGACATGGGACACGCTTGGAGAAACTTGTCCTTGCAACCACTGCCCACTCACCAGTCTGGGCTCATTGCACTGCCTGCCTCCAGTAGGCATCTGAAGTGATGGCTGGCAGGCAGCCTCTTCTTCAGCAGTGGACTGCATTTTGGGTAGAAGAGCCTGAATGCTGGGTCCATACAACTGTGACTGCATTCCCAGCAGAAGGAGATGGTTTTGCTTAGATGTGCCCTCTGTCCAGTCCAGGGACTCTGGCAGTGGTAGGAAGAGCCTTTCTGTGGGAAGACATGGCTGCTTGCAAAGCTAGTTTGTTCTTTCCTTCATTCAAGGAAATATTTTGGAGATCCTACTTTGTATTCGGCACCGTGTAAGCTGCTGGCAGTATTACAGTGAAAAAGACACATGCGGTCCCTGCCTTCAGAAAACTCAATCTAGAGGTGGAACTAGAGAAATAACTGGGAGGGGCGCTTGCTCAGCTTGGAGTGGGGTCAGTTCTCAAAGGAAGTGACATCACTTCATCTGAGATCCAAAGGCCAAGTAGGGACTGGACAGCAAAGGTGTACAGCAAAGGTGGAGAAAGCAGACAGGCGAGAAGAGGGAACGTGTGTGGAGAGCCCTGGAGGAAAAAGATCATGGCTTGTTGGAGAAATGAATGATGTTCCTGTGGCTGGGGCTTGAGTACCAAATGCGGGGACAGGCAAGAGATGACACCCGCATGGAGAAAACTGCTTCCAAATATTTGGTTTAAAGCATCCAGTCCTCTCTGACATTGTCCTCAAAGGAACTGCCATCAAGGAGGTCCCCAAAGCCTTCCGTTTGTTGTACCCTCTTTGTGCCGTATGGGGGCAGGTAGAATGCCACCAGAAAAACCACCCTGAAAGTGAATAGGAGTCCATGGCTAGCCACAGGCACTCAGAAACCCTGAGCTTGAGGCGTCTCTCTTGCCACATGGTGGAATCCTGAGGTCTGCCAGATTAAGCTGGGGGTGATTCTTCTAGAGTGGGCTTTATTAAGAAACAAACAAACAAAAAACAGTGAAGCTTGTCAAGTGGCCTGTTGGTTGGCAGAGCTGTTTCATTTTCTGGGAGAGGGGTTGGAGGGGAAGGTTCCTTTGAGGCTTTTGACAGCTCCAGCTAAGTGGTTTTCTTCTCCTCCTCCTGGTCCTTTTTCTCTATATTCTCCTCTTCCTCCTCTATCTTCATTTTTTTTTTTTTTTAACCTAGTGCAAGATTCTTCTTCGGTACCACTGCCCACATTCCTGGTTGCTGGAGGGAGCCTGGCGTTCGGAACGCTCCTGTGCATTGCCATTGTTCTGAGGTGAGATGGGTCCTGGGGGATGGCCCTGTGGTGTTCTCATATTTATGTAGCTTTCCTTTGCCCATTATGAAATTTACAGTGCATTTATTTATTCATTTATCCATTCATCAAATGAATGCACACACCACAGCACACACAGCACCTAGTATTATGCCAAGCCCTGTTTTTTTTTTTTTTTTTTTTTTTTTTGAGACGGAGTCTTGCTCTGTGACCCAGGCTGGAGTGCAGTGGCACGATCTCGGCTCACTGCAAGCTCCGCCTCCCGGGTTCAGGCCATTCTCCTGCCTCAGCCTCCCAAGTAGCTGGGACCACAGGCGCCCACCACCTCGCCTGGCTAATTTTTTGTATTTTTTAGTAGAGACGGGGTTTCACTGTGTTCGCCAGGATGGTCTCGATCTCCTGACCTCGTGATCCACCCGTCTCGGCCTCCCAAAGTGCTGGGATTACAGGCGTGAGCCACCGCGCCTGGCCAACCAAGCCCTGTTTTAGGTGCTGCAGGAGACAATGCTGGGCAGGGCAGATACAGTCTCAGGAAGAAGCCAGACACTAAGAGGTAATCACTGCTGTGGTAAGAGCTACAAAAAGCATGCCATGGTGAGGAGAACTGACCTGGCATTAAGGAGGAAGAGGAATTGGTCTGAGAAAGAAGAGGGTTCTTTTTTTTTTTTTTTTTTTTTGAGTCAGCGTCTCACTCTGTCATCCAGGCTAGAGTGCCGTGGTGCAATCTCACTTCACAGGACAACCTCTGCCTCCCAGGTTCAAGTGATCCTCCCACCTTAGCCTCTGGAGTAGCTGGGACTGCAGGTGCACACCACCCTGCCTAGCTAATTTTTCTATTTTTTGTAGAGATGAGGTCTCATGTTGCCCAGGCTGGTCTCGAACTCCTAGGCTCAAGTGAGCCACCTGCCTTGGCCTCCCAATGTTTTGGGATTATAGGTGTGAGCTACCACGCCTGGCCCAAAGAGGGTTCTTATGAGAGAAGCCCAGGATGTAATATGGTTGACAGTGTGTGCATGCACGTGTCTTGGGGGGGGCAGCGTGGTTGGGGCAATATGGGGTGGGAAGAGTGGAGAGGTAGGCTGGTGCCAGGTCATAAAAGGCCTTGAAAGAGAGGTGGGAAGAATTTAGGCCTTTTCTTGAGGGTAATGAGTGTCTGTTGGAGTTTTAAGAAGAACCTGGGCCAGGCACGGTGGCTCACGCCTGTAATTCCATCACTTTGGGAGGCCGAGGCAGGTGGATCACCTGAGGTCAGGAGTTCAAGACCAGCCTGGCCAAAATGATAAAACCCTATCTCTACTAAAAATACAAAAATTAGCCGGGCATGGTAGTGCATGCCTGTAATTCCAACTACTCGGGAGACTGAGGCAGGAGGATCACTTGAACCCAGGAAGTGGAGGTTACAGTGAGCTGAGATTGCACCACTGCGCTCCAGCCTGGGCGACAGAATGAGGCTCATCTCAAATAAAGAAAACCAAAAAGTCACTCTCAGTGCAGTTTGGAGACTGGATGAGGTGGGTGAAAATGGATACAGTAGCCCAGGGTCTGGGCAAGAGATAATAAGAAACTGTTTAGGATGGTGGCAATGGATTGGAGAGCCATGAATTGATTCTTTTTTTTTTTTGAGATGGAGTTTTGCTTCTGTTGCCCAGGCTGGAGTGCAGTGGTGTAATCTCTTCTCACTGCAACTTGTGCCAGCACTTTGGGAGGCCGAGGTGGGCGGATCACCTGATGTCAGGAGTTCAAGACCAGCCTGACCAACATGGCAAAACCCCATCTCTACTAAAAACACAAAATTTAGCTGGGCATAGTGGCACATTCCTATAATCTTAGCTACTCGGGAGGCTAAGGCAGGAGAATCGCTTGAACCCAGGAGGCAGAGGTTGCGGTGAGCTGATATTGCACCACTGCACTCCAGCCTGGGCAACACAGCAAGACTCCATCTCAAAAAAAAAGAAAAATAAAAAATAACATTTGAGAAGCACCACACAGTTAAATCCAAGGCGCCCAGCAGGACCTCCTTAGGAATATTCTATGTATCAATCCAGGAACTTAAAGGTCACCTTTAAATGCTCTGCTCTAGTGTTCTTTTCCATCCATGGTTAGGAAATACTCTTTCAGGCTGAGCTGCACCCTGGCCTCTGTCTCCTCATGCCCATTTCATCCCAATCATCTTCATTCCATTTGGTCATTGGTTTTGTCATTCATTTCCAAGTTTGCAGAAAAGTCAGCCAACAGTGCCTTCAACGAACAAGCAATAATGAAATTTTTCAGTGTTCACAATTTTACTGCAGGAACTGGCTGTTTTTCATAAGCTGAAACCCTAAAATAAGTCAGGCTGGGTCTTCTGGGCAGTGGTTTATTGTGATAATATACAAGTGGAGGTGACATTGCACTCTGTCCTTCTTTCTACACGTAGAGAGCTTCCTACACGTTAGCTCATCAGACCCTGCCAGTAGCCCTGACCTAGCTTGACTACCAAGTGTGGTTTGGGTTGAAAGATTAGCAAGATGCCTTCTCAAATTGGGTTCAGGGTTGTTTTCACTTTTCTTTTTCTTTTTTTTTTTGAGATGGAGTCTCACTTTGTTGCCCAGGCTGGAGTGCAATGGTGCGATCTCAGCTCACTGCAACCTCCGCCTCCCAGGTTCATGCCGTTTTCCTGCCTCAGCCTCCTGAGTAGCTGGAACAACAGGCGCCCGCCACCATGCCTGGCTAATTTTTTGTGTTTTTTTTTAGTAGAGAGGGGATTTCATAGTAGAGAGGGGGTTTCACTGTGTTAGCCATGATGGTCTCAGTCTCCTGACCTCGTGATCCGCCCGCCTCGGCCTCCCTAAGTGCTGGGATTACAGGCGTGAGCCACCATGCCCGGCCTTCACTTTGCTTTTTCAATGAAGTAGAGAACAAGCCATCTAAAGGGTGTGTGGAAGATAAGATTCTTGATGAGTGGAGGTAGCTTCTTGGAGGACGCAAAGCCTTTTATATATTTTGGCCAGTGAGGGGCCATGTCAGCATTCACGGGTCCACCTCCTGCCTGTCAAAGGATTCCTTGCCTCACCCTAGGTATACCCTCCCGTGTTCTGGCTCTGTGTCTATATTAGGGATTCAACAGGCTTTTCTCATAACCCACCACAGGCCCTGTAGAGCAGATGTGATATCCATTTGACAGGGAAGGAAACTGAAGCTAAAAGAGATGGTATGATAACAGCTAGTAAGAATAGGCCAGGCACAGTGGCTCACGCCTGTAATCCTAGCACTTTGGGAGGCCAAGGCGAGTGGATCACCTGAGGTCAGGAGTTCGAGACCAGCCTGGCCAACATGGCGAAACGCTGCCTTTACTAAAAATACAAAAATTAGCTGGGCGTGGTGGTGCACGCCTGTAATCCCAGCTACTCAGGAGGCCGAGGCAGGAGAATGGCTTGAACCCAGGAGGCAGAGGTTGCAGTGAGCCGAGATCGTGCCACTGCACTCCAGCCTGGGCAGCAGAAGAAGAAGGCCAAGAATCAAACCAAAAACTCCTGCTCTTTCTATAGGGCCTTAGGGGTCATCTGGTCAAACTCTTTTATTTTATAAATGAGGAAACAGCCCCCAAAGGTAAAATGACTTGCCTAAGGACAAGCAAGAACCAGAAGTGGAGCACACGCCCTGAGAGTCCCTGCCTATGGCACCCGCCTGCTCTTGGCTAAGAGCTGGGCCCAGCTGCTCCCATCGGCCCACCACTGGCCCTTAACACACAGCACCATCTTGGTGTGTCGTAACGGCAAATAGAGGAGCATCAGGTTGGGAACAGACCTGGTTTGCTATTCTGATGATGATGCTTGGACACTGGTTGGTTGCTAAACAACCAGAGTCCCTGCAGGCACAGACAGGGCCAGTGCCCTGTGCTGAGGACATGCCAGGAATTTATTTCCTAGCCTAGTGAGTTTCCATTTTCTTCTGTATAAGGCAAATTTGTTTGGAAAGAGGCCAGTTATTTCAGGCGATGAAGAATCCTTCTATTCCCCAAATCCCCTCTGTCTAGCAAAGAGTATAAACCTTTTTTTTTTTTTTTTTTTTTGAGATGGAGTTTCGCTCTGTCCCCTAGGCTGGAGTGCAGTGACCGGATCTCAGCTCACTGCAAGCTCCGCCTCCCGGGTTTACGCCATTCTCCCGCCTCAGCCTCCAGAGTAGCTGGGACTACAGGCGCCCGCCACCTCGCCTGGCTAGTTTTTTGTATTTTTTAGTAGAGACGGGGTTTCACAGTGTTAGCCAGGGTGGTCTCGATCTCCTGACCCCGTGATCCGCCCGTCTCGGCCTCCCAAAGTGCTGGGATTACAGGCTTGAGCCACCGCGCCCGGCCAAGTATAAACTTAGAAATACTGTGGGGCTCTGGGCTGCCAAAATGGCTGAACCATGGTTACCATGGGATGGCCACATTTACAGTAGGTGAAGTGTGAGAGGCAGGTTGACTTCATCCTGCCAGTCTATACTATATTTTTTGTATGGCCCTAAATCTTTTTCCAGCAGTATCGGTGATTTTTTTCTTTGTCTTTTATTACTCATTCTTTTTTTCTGAATCATAGATGATTTTTTAAAATTTAAATAGGCTATTGAAAAGGCTTGCCATCTTACAGGGGCCAATTCTTCCCACCCTATTCCCTGTCCCCCACGGATTCTCTGTCTTTATTTTAGGTTATCAGGCATTGGGAATATAGGATTCTCCTAGTAAATAATTATTTTTCTGCATATTTATCTAGAATGAACTTACGTCATTAAATGAGGACTTCCTATGTGTATGCCTATGACTTAAACATCATTTTGTTTTGAATGTAGTGTATCATTCTGGTATTTTAAGAGCTTCTCCTACCTCCACAGCTGGGGGACGGGCAGAGGGACTTTCATGGTGTTCTGGGCCGTGGAGGTGGCTGGGTGCAGTGGGCACTGTCTGTGGCCTTTGGGGTAAGGGGTGGCACCTTGGTTTCTACATATCTTTCTAAAAAAGTAAGAGTTTTGAGCATTTTTAAAAA